TCAGTCATTTCAACTAAACAGAATGTGATAGCTTGGCAGTGATTTTGAAATTGTCTCCTACAATATTCTTTAATCCCCTCTCTGATGGCTTAGAAATAAAATTTGCCATCAATCAAAGTAACTTTTGAGTGAATTTAGTAAATAGAGCAAAGCATGGCATCACTACCACCTTCGCCTTGGTGAGGTTAATGACATAATACGTAAAGCAAAGCATCGCGTCGAGGCTTGATGTGGACCAGGGCACAGATCGGGGCATGGGCACGCGTGCCCGCGTGGCGCGCGCGAGTGCGGCCTGAGCTACCGCTCTGACCGGAAGCCGGCTGCGGCAGGGCCCACGCGGAGCTGCGGCGGTGCGCGCGCGCCCTCTACTGAGCGACTCGGGTAGCAGGCGGCGGTCTCCGCAGCGGCGAGGCGCCCAGGGCGCAGTGCACGTTCCTTCCTTAGGGAATGAACCAGCCGGTAAGTGACGCCCTGACCCTGCGCTCTCAGTGGAAATGGAGGAGTAACTCTCTCAGCTACCCGCTGGTTAAACTGGAAAAAGTGGCAAGTGCCCACGGGTGCTTCTGTCTAGGGCTCAGAGCTTGGGCGCACCAATTAGGGGCTCGTCTGGGAGAGCCCTAGGGAACGGGGATGGGGGGGTGGTGGCACGGGGATGAGGGACAGGGGCAGGGGTTACTTGCCAGGAGAGGGATCCACGAGCCTGGCAGAGCAGGAAGGCACTTTACTAGGAAGCTGTTCAAAGACTCACAAATTGATGAAAAGGGGGCGGGGGAGCTCGCAGCTGAAATTAGAGATGGGAAGAAACCAATTTTTGCATGTGTCATGGGCAGATGTGAGTAGCCATAAGTGGAAAATGAGGGCAGAAGCCACAAATGAAGGAGGTAGATGGGACAGAGGCAGCGCCCACTCCTGCAGCCACCGAGCTGGGGGTCCCGGACCAAAGTCCGTCTCTGCAGGACAGGCCGTTCAGTTGAGGCCCACACGAACACTCTCAGATGCCCAAGGGTGTGCCAGAGAGCCTCAGGCTCACCGCTGCACAGCAGCCGTGTCCACCGCGGGAGAAGTGTCAACCACTGAGATGGGGAACAGAGCTCTGTGGATTTGGGGGAGGACAAATAACAATCAGTGTCGCTTGCAGGCTTCTGCTTCATTCAAGTGTCCAAAGCCTGAAAATAAAAGATCCACTCCGTTATTCTCCATTCAAGTTCATTTTTATTTTATTTTATTTTATTTATTTGAGACAGAGTCTCACTCAGTCGTCCTGGGGTTGAGGCTGTGGCGTTATAGCTCACAGCAACCTCAAACTCTTGGGCTAAAATGATCCTCTTTCCTCAGCCTCCTGAGTAGCTGGGTATAAAGCACCCCCCACACACACAACGATCGGCTGTTTTTAGAGATGGGGTTCCGCTCCTGCTCAGGCTGGTCTCAAACTCCTGAGCTCAAGCAATCCACCAGCTTCAGCCTCCCAGAGTTAGGATTGCTGGCCTGAGCCGGCATGTCCAGCCTCAAGTTCGTGGTTTTAATGAGAAAAAAGAGTCAAGTTGTCTCATTTTTGATTTTGCTAAGCAACAGGGCTGAAACAATGCAGGGTTTCATTTTTCCAACAACCACTACTACTAGTATTTTATATTGTTGTTGCTGCTTTTGGCAAGAAAAAAATAAAGAATTTTTCTTCATTCAAGTCTTCATTAATGGTTATCAATCTCTATCATATGCCTGAGATATGAAAGCTTAGAAGCTATTATCTTTCTCATAAATATCATTTTCAGATATA